GACAGACACACTTACTGAAAGTATGGAGCATAATTAACATTTTCTACACATTCTCCATGTTTACAAGAGGAGACTCTAAGCAAATATTTCCAAACCATGGAAGAAAAATGTGAAACATTCTGAAGTATATACCCTCAAATGTTGTAGTTTACTGTAGGAGATAGACAAAAAGGAAGGCATAGTCACTCATTTTTAATTTTTAAAATTTTATGTCCATTGGTATTTTGCCTGCACATATGCCTGTGTAAGGGTTTCAGGTTCCTTGGAACTGAGGTTACAGACAGCTGTGAGCTGCCACGTGGGTTATGGGAATTGAACCCAAGTCGTCTGGAAGAGCAGCCAGTGTTCTTACCCGCTGAGCAATCTCTCCAACCCTATGAGATAATTATTCTTAATTAAGGACATGGCCACTGGTAAGTTTCCAGTGTTCCAGTGGATGTCTTCATCATGGACATGTGGGTAGCACTAACGACTTAGTAGGTTAAAAAAAAGTCATGAAGTTTGGAGAGGAGCTTGTTAGGGAGGATATATATGTATATATATACATATATCCATATATGTGTATATGGATATATGTACATGTATATGTATATATATGTATTGGATGTAGGAAACTGGGGGTAAATATGATATATCATTGTGTATATGTATGGCATTTTCAATAATAAAGAAAAATTGAAAAGGCATTGAGGAAGAATAAAACTGTGTTCTATAATAAAAAAATTAAAACATTTGCTCAGCTTTTTTTAAGATTCCTGGCATTATGACATTTTGACAAGAATATAGGATAAGGTTCCAATTTGAATATTGGTTTTGTTATTATAGGTCTGTGGTAGTTTGAACGAGAATGTTCGTCATATTCTCATTATTGAACACAGTTGGTAGCATTGTTTGAGGGAACATTTAGGAAGTGTACCATTGTTGAGGAAGTTGGTCCCTGGCCAGGGCTTTGATAGTTGTAGCCTCACCCACTTCCAGTTCTCTCTTTCTGCCTAGTGCTGTGGGAATGATGTGATATCTAGCTTCCTCTTCCAGCTTCTGCTTGCTGACATGTCTTCCACCTGTGAAAAGATAGAAAGAAAAACTATTATCTACACTTACAAATGGGTAGCATTATGTTGGTCTTGGTTTAAATTTAAGAATGTAGGAGGAGACAGCAGGGTGTCCCTCATACGTCATTGTTGTCTCTGTGTTCCCCACCAGTTTCTTCATGAATGAGGCTGTCTAACACTGTGGGCATTTGGACATGCACATGAATGAGCAGGCTTTGCACTAGACTGAAAGAGCAGAAACTGGCAATTCAGTTGCTTCTCTCCTTCCCTGAATCCGAAGTCAGTTTAAATGGATCCCAATGAAGTTCCTGTTCCTCTCTAAAACTGCACGCTCTAGGCCTCCCCTTCCGCGTTCTTCTCAGATGATCCCACTAGAATGACCAAAAGCTTTGCTTCCAGCATTCAATAACTTTTCTAGTCCAGTGTACCAAACGCTTTCACAAAATAGTCAAAAGATGTAAGAGCCACTTGGTCAGGTCTGTCACTCTAATGACCCCACTTCCTTGGCGCCAGTGTCTGTCTTTTCTGTTGCTGAGACAAAAATACCCTGACAAGCAGCAACATGGGCAGAAAGGATCTCTCATAACTCACAATTCCAGGTCATTGACCATCACAGCTGGGAAATCAAGGCAGCCAGCACTAAAACAGATGGTCTCATCACTAAGGATGTTGAGATGTGGAGAATTGAATGTGAGGTTGCTTATTACTCAGCTACCTTTGTCTACAGTTGAAGGTTCCAGATGAGGGATTGTTGTCATCCACTTCCAGGCAGGGTCTTCACACATCAATTATGTCAACAAAGAAAATCCTCTACAGACATGTCCACAGGCCAACTTGATCTAAACAATTTCTAATTGAGACTCTTCTCAGGTGAGTGTGTTCTTGGCTTTTTTTATTTCCTCCTTTGTAGTCCCACCTTCTGTCACATTGACAGATATTTGTGTCTTTACTACTTTAGAGCATACAATATATATTTTCGTCTTAAAATAATCAACCTTAGGTTGGATGTCTGTATACATAAAATTGCTTCAGTACTGTACATTTCCCTTTGTATCATGCTGTCCTTTTTTCTTCACACACGGTTGTTCTATGAAACTGTATTTGTTATTTCTCCACTTATATTTTTCTCTTTTCCAATCTTCTATCATAAGAATCATCTCAGTGGCTGCTTACTGATACTGCACAAGAGTTACACACAATGTAGTAATTTTAGAGTTCCTCGAGATATCTAATAAATTACAGCTACAATTCACCAATTACTAATAAAAACAAAGCCATCACACCATCTGAGAGAATGATTCCCTCTGACCTCAGGGACTTTCCTATTGCTTCATCCTTGTCTCTTCTGGTAGAAAAACATGCTAGTGAATAAAGAGAAAAGCATGCTACATGTGAATAAAGAGAGGATCCTTAAGCAGCTGGGATGATGCTGGATCCCTAGCTAGATACACAGCAGTATCTGTGCTAATCAGAAGAGGTGGATACAAGGAAGCAGTATGCTCTATGTGTGCTAATGTATACCCACAAGACTTATTATTACAGTTTACAACATTATATAACTTTTGTTTTTTTTGAGATTATAGTATAACTACATCATTTTTTCCTCCCTTCAAACCCTCCCATGTTACCTCCCATTTCTCTCTTTGAAATTCATTGCCTTTTGAAAATGAAGGTATATGTTTGTATGTACATGTGTATGTATATATATTCCTAAATATAACTTTACCAGTTTATAAACTGTTACTTGTATGTATATTTTCAGGGCTGACTATTTGGTATTGAATAACCAACTGTTGCCCTATTCTCTGTGGAATACTGTTTCTCTGACTCTTAGCAATCATTAGTTGCCTGTAGTTTTTCCTTTCCTTTTCTTTTTTGGTGTGTGTGTGTGTGTGTGTGTGTGTGTGTGTGTGTGTGTGTGTGTGTGTGTAGGGGAAAGGTGTGGTCTTTGTCCATCCACTTTGGCTCGTGTATTGTTGTTGTTCTTGGTCAGGTCATGTCTAGACAGTGATGTTTTACTAAAAGGTATGCATCCAATATGTCACTTTCTATGAATAAATACTGTAAGTAGACTAGTATGAATTTTCTATTATTTCAATATTCTTGCCATTAATATAAATCTACAGCAAAACTATTGGCAGCCTAACCCTCAAATCAATAAAAGGAGACAGAGTTTGAGTATGAGTGATGAAATAGCCAGAATGGATAAGGATAACATTAGAGGAAATTATCCTTGATGCAATGTTTTATTATTTTGATAGTTCCTGTTCTCATGCATTTTTATATAATCACCAATGAAATCATGAAAACCATCAATGATTCATACCAATTATTTTCCATTATTTCCATAAATGTGAGTGTGGGAAGAAACTGTGCTTGCCTTCCTCAGAGTCTGACCATCTGCATGTGAGTATTTCTCCTGTTCCTGGAATTGCACAACTCTCAGATTACGCTCTTCCCTGATCCTGTTTGTTTTATTCAGAACCCTGTATTTTAGTCTTCTTCATTAGAGAGTAAACCAGTGTCTCCTCCCCTTCCATGTATTCTTACTACTCATTTTCAGTAAAACTTTAGTCAATGCTTATGGATTTATTTTTAACTAAATTATAAAAATCTAATCAATAGCACATGATAATAAATATCAGCTTATTTAGTGGTTTAATCTCCATGATGTATCACTTTCAGAGTGGTTCATCTCTAACCCCCACTCCATCTAGACTGTCATGTCTTCTGACCATCTTGCATTTCCTCCATCAGGAACTAAAGAAGTGAAGGGGGTTGCTTTTGTTGTGACTTGTGGAGTTATGGCCTGAAGTCACCTTTGCTGATGGTGTTGGTCCACTAGGGGGCACTGCAGGCTTCCCGGAAATGACTTCCTGAAGGGCCTAAAGGGTTGGGCAGTTAAAGAGACCAGAGAACATGTGAGGCTGTCAGTCACAGATGGCAAAGTTTATTCCTGGCTGTTAGCTGTGCTATAATGTGGAACTGTAAACCTAGAGGAGCCTGGAGATCCACTGTGAGGCTGATTCCATGAGGACAGATAAGGACATAGAATTGTACTAGTCAACATGATCTCTGAAGCTCAATAGAAAACATCTAACTCCATGACTTTAAGTTTTATGATTTTATGATGAAAATCTCCAGGGTTCACGGACCCAGAAATTGCTCCAATACCTGTGATAGTCAAATTATTCATTATCTCTTCTCAGACTAGCAGGAACACGAATAATTAGTCGAAGGGAGGAAAATAATAAGACACAAAAACAGTAGAAGAAAATATAGAGAATACTATTGAACTTGACCAGCAATGTGTGGGTCTGCAGGGTGCAGGGAAGGGACTGGAGAAGGACAGAGGTGGAAAATGAATCAGGGTGAATGTTGTATTTACAACCTGATTGTTTTAACAAATGAAAATTTCACTGAAAACGTTTTCTTTCAGATGATGATCTGCTGATTTCAACAAAGTGTATTTATTCCCCAGCACACATTGCACCCCTTTAAAGTGTTTTCTTTTATAAGAATTTTCATACAACTGATTTCTCAAATTCAGTCAAGTTATTGAATTTAAGAAATGGCTTGCTCTCTCTATCCTTCTATGTTCTGTGATCTAAGGAGACCTCAGCTCTTTCTTGATATATCATCCCTTCCTTCTCTCAAATGTTTCTTATTTTAACTGTTACAAACAAACAAACAAACAAACAAACAGGACAACCCAACCAACACTCTTCAGTTTCAGCTGTAGGTGGCATGCCTTCCTGCTTCCCTTCATGGTGTTCATCCTCAGCTTGTGAGGCTTCACTGGGCTTCTGTGGGTGTGGTTTTTCATCAGGATGAAAGAGCTCAGATTTTATTGGTGCTCAGTGGGTGAGGGAGAGCATACTGTGGGTTGGAACTAAGTTAGACACTGTCTGGAGCTGGGTAAGGCACCTCAGCAGTTTGACAGGATCCATGGAGAGGAGCCTGGGAGCTGTGCTGGGGCTGCTGTGGGTGCAGGTTTGCTGTGAGTTGTGCTTCTCCCAGATGTGTTACTGGTGTTCCACAGCTGCCAGTGGGAGGGGCAGAACAAAGTTGACCCAAAGCTCCTCATGACTGTCTCCCGGGATATCTGACAGTGTAGAAACTGCCAAAGGATTAGCGGTCATATGGTTTGTTTTCCTTTCTCTGAGCAGGGGTCAGAGGGATGCAGGTGGACCAAAATCCTCCAGGCCTGAGTCTTCTTGAGGGAGCCGGCTCTGCTATGAGATGCAATTTTTCTATCACCACGAACAGTATGCAGTGGTTTCGGCAGAATCCCGGGGGCAGCCTACTCAGGCTGTTCCTCATGACTCCAGGAACAAAGGAGAATGGGAGGTTAAAGTCAACATTCGACTCCAAGGAGCGCTACAGCACCCTGCACATCAGAGATGCCCAGCTGGAGGACTCAGGCACCTACCTCTGTGCTGCTGATGCACAGTGCTCCCAGCAAGCCTGCAGCCTGGCCCCAAACTGCAGCTGCCTGTGCAGCTACAGCCCTGCCCCAGGGAGACTCTGCAGGAGGCTTTGCACAGCTGTGGGGTTTCTAATTTATGCTGTGTCCCTGTCATCTCTGCTAACACTAGAGAGTTCAGAATTGCTGTTTCCTATCAGTGCGCCCTTTCCTTACAGATACCCATTTTCAGGAAGAAGTTCTCATGAAGAGTACTGGGACAACTGACAAAGATGACAAGGTTCACAGTACTGTCAGGTAGAACCACTGCACAGGGTTCACTGCTCTTTATTGTTCTACAAAGGCACCAGCAGACATGCTGTTCAGGGAACAGAAAAGAAATGACCCAGTGTTTCAGTCAATTGCATATCTTTCAATTATCCAGAAGAATGAGACTTTTATTTGTTTTTTTGAGAATTTCATACAATGCACTTTGATCATATTCAGTTCTCCACCAGTTCCTACCAGTTCCACCCCTCTTCCTTACTTTCCAGCTTTTCTTTCTTTGTTTCTGGGAAAAAAAACCCCACAAAACCTTCAAGTACTGTGTGTGCTGTCCTTACCTCTTTGATGTGTGATCTTCGCTGGAGTGTGGTTGACCTACTGGGGCCATGCCCTTAAAGATACAGATTCTCCCTCTCTTAGTAGCTATCACATGCCAACATGTCCTTTGTTAGGGGTGGAACTTTGCCCATGCCCCCATGCTGGAGTTTTGTGTAGCTTAGGCTTGTGTATGTTTGTGTGTGCTATTCCAACTGCTTTGAGTTCATATAAATTAACTTTCCTTATAATTGAAGATTCAATGATAAAATGCACCATAAGGATCCTCAATTACATGCAAATTATATTGGTTTAAATGAAAATTGTACCCATAGGTTCATATAATTGCAGGGTTTGTCCTCAGTTGATGAACTGTTTGGAAAGCATTAGGAGGTGTGGTTTTGTTGGAGGAGGTGTGTCACTGGAAGTGGGTTTTGAGGTTAAAAAGCTCACACCTGGCCCAGTGTCTCTTTCTCTGCCTGCTGTCTACTGATCAGGATGGAAAAATTCTCAGCTACTTCTTCAGGACCATGCCAGCCTGCTGCCATGCTTCTAGTCATGATGATAATGGACTAATCCTCTGAGACTTTAAGCAATCCCCAAATTAAATTTCTTTTATAAGTTGCTTTGCCATGTAGTCTCTTTACACCAATAAACAGTAACTAAGACACAAATAATGAAGTCATTTTTACTTTATCAGATTTCCACAATTTACAAAAAATGTCTGAGAAAGTAATATTTCATGAAAATATAAGTTTATGTTTATAATAAAAGAAGACTTACACAAACCTCATTTGTATGAGTAATTAAATCATTTTAGAAACAGTGTTCCACTACAATCATCAAACCTAGATTTAATAAAGTCCATGTCTTCAACTATTTATCAGATGTTTGTGCTGCTGTTGCACAGTACAAAATACAGCTGTAAGAGCTCAAGTGTCAGCTTTGTTATTTCCCAAATTCAGAAATTGTCACATGTTCATTTTGCAGTTTTACATTTCTGAGGAGCACCTGACATCATCCAACTATACAACTTGAAAAGGAAGTTGCTAAAAGAATAACATTTTAAACACTAGTGAGTAAAATTGTACAGGGTGAGGCTAGAAAAGTCACAGGATATCATACAACATTGTACCCAAACCCAAGATACACTAACAGAGCAATGTCAGGATTTTTATTAGAATTTTTATTATTTGTGAACTTTTTTCTTCTTTCTTTTAAATTAAATTTTCTATTCATTTTACCTACCAACCATAGATCCACTTCTCCTCCCTCCTCCTGCCCTCATGCTTTCTCCCCCTCAGCCCACCTCCTCCAAGGCAAGGTCTCCAAAGGGGAGTGAGCTGGTACATTCAGTTGAGGCAGTTCCAAGCCCCTCCTCCCTGCACCAAGGCTTCCAAAACTGTCCTACCATAGGCACTGAGATCCAGAAAGCCGGCTCATGAACCAGGGACACATTGTGTTTTGTTATATTTTTTCCTGTTCCCTAAGTCCTCCCAGATCCTCCTCATCTCTTTATTTGCCCAGCTAATGTTCTCTCAAATAATCTACACCCCCCCCCAAAAAAAGACAAAGACAACCTCCCTCCAAAGACAAAACAACCTCCCTCCAAAAACAAAAACCCACTACAGCATAACAACAACAGCAGCAGCAGCAGCAGCAACAACAACAACATACACACAAGCATGTTTGTGTTGGTCAACTACTGAACTTAGTCTGTTCTGGAATGTGGCTAAAATACCTATTGTCATTCCACTGGAGATAACTGACTTCCTCTCTCACAGCAGGTATCAGTGGCACAAGGTTTCTGGGTTAGGGATGGGACTTTGTGTCTATTCCCCATCTCTGTGCTGAGATTTTGTGTGACTTGAATTTGTTCTGGTTTTGTGTACACTGTTACAGTCTCAGTTAGGGTGTATTTGTATCAGCAATGTCCTTTCAGAGAACATTGTCCAGAGACAAGTAGATGTAGTGTGGTGAATTCAGAGTGGTTATGGTAGTGCTGGCCTGTAATCTCAGCACTTGGAAAGCTGAAGTACAAGAATCATAAGTTAGAGGCCAGCCTAGATTTCATAGCAAGATTTATCTTAATTCAATGAGATGGAGTGTGTCAAGTCCTCCAAAAGTAAGTGAAATCTAAGGGGTGATGCATAAATGGTTGTGCTGCACCCAAACTTGATGCTATCTTAATGTATTCTAACCTTGGACCGGCCTTTCTGTAATGCTCTCTGTAGGGCATGTGCTATACATGCATCAGTTGTCATAGGCGCCCAAATGTAGCAGGCTTTCTTCATCTGCCAGCCTGCAAATCATGGTAAGGAGACTTATTATTAATTATGAATGCTTGACCTTAGCTTAGGCTTTCTCTAGCCAGCTTTATTTTTAACTTAAATTAACCCATTTTTATTAATCTATCTACTGCCCCGAGGCCTGTTTACCTCATGTATGTACTGTCCATATTGCTATCCTGCTTCCTCCATGTCTGTCTTGCTGGCCAGCCCACCCTGGATGGTTCTCCCTCTATTTCTCTGTCCTTTTCTCCCTAGAGCCTAGATTCCTCCTCCTACTTATTCTTTTTGACCGCCAGCCCCACCTATCCCTCTCCTGTCTACCTATTGGCCATTCAGCTTTTTATTAGACCAATCAGGTGTCTTAGGCAGGCAATGTGAAACAGTAACACATCTTTACACAATTAAACAAATGCAGCACAAACAAATGTGGCATATCTTTACATCATTAACAAAGGCAGAAGAAACAAATGTACACACCTTCACATAGTTAAAGTAATACTCCATAGCATAAATAAATGTAAAACATCTTTCCGCAGTTAAAATAATATTTCACAACATCTGTGTGCATAAGGATAAGCATTTTGAATGTGATTAGGAGTTATACTGGCTTAGGAAAATGGCAGTGGGAAGTTCACTTTTAGAGATCCTCCTATCCAGTCATGGATGGTTGGTGAAGTTGACATTACCGGGTAGGAATTCCCTCCCATTGAGTTAGTTATGAGTCCAATTCAGTGGTTATTGGTTACCTCCAAGACAGAAGCGACACTATTGAAGATTTGGATGCTGGTCATTGTTGTGGCTCTTAGGTATTACAGCTGGATATAACTATTGATTTCCTTTTTCCTTGGCTGGTTTTGGAATATCTCTGGATACTATGAGAGTCCTCAGGAAATAGACTGCTAGGTCAGTTGTAGCCCATTCTTCCAAGTCCTATATCCAAAGTGTGTAATATCTTTAGGAATAAGTACTTCAAATCTGTGAGTCAACTAAAGACAATAGCAATAGTCTATGTTGTTTTGGGAGTCTTGTCTTGGGTTGTCCTGACTGAACACTAGAAATGAGGTTTCTCATGCCAGGTGTTATGCTAAACAGTCTATGGTTGTAGGGGAACTTTATCACCCTAAGTGGAATAACATCATTTTGATAATTTATTTATTTATGCATATATATATATATATATATAAAATGTAATTTGTGGCAAATAGAAAATAATATGATTGCCTGTGACTTTTTCAAACACCCTGAAATTTATTTATCCCTCCTCCCTCCCTCTCCCCCTACATTGATCTCTGTCCTCACTCTGCATTTAAAGCCCCCTTCACCTTTCCCATTTCCCACTTCATAGAAACTGTGTCCTGCTATTGCTTTTTCTACAGCTTCTTTTTCCCATACCCTCTTAGTCACTGTTCACTGTCCTGGGGTTCATCTGGGTAATTCCCATTGGAGAACATTTCTATAGCACTGGTGGGGTTTGTGGGTATGGGAGTTGTCTTGCCTTTCAAAATGCTTGTGTGTTTGTGATATGGTGTAGACATGTAGACTTCTTTCATTGTGTCTGATATTGTAGTGTGCCTTTGTTGAGTAGAATTTGGTTTCTGTTTTTGCTGTTGCTCGGATCAGGTTGTTTTGAGATCAGATTTGAAGAGTTGGTATGTCATTCCTTCAAATAGAGATATCCATTATTGATGGGAGGGATGAGAGTGATTCTAATTCAGTGGTTATCAAGAAAGGGTGTTGATATGACTCAGGTCTATGTCTGTGTGCTGGTGCAAAAGGTGTTCAAGTCCAGCTTTGCCTTGGAATGTGGGGATAACACACAGAGGTTCTGGGGAACTTACCACTTTAGGTTGGTATGAGGCTGTAGGCCCCAAAGTAGGCTTTCTGGGAGTGTGAGGAAGTGTGAGTGGATGGAGATCTGGGGTTCTCAACTGGATGGGCTGGTGCACAGGAGTTGTAACCATGGGCAGTGCTGGGACTGTGAAGATATTGGGGATCTGGGTCACTCACCTAGTTAGACTGGTTCACAGGCCATGTAGCACAGCTAGGTCCGACAATATCCTGCTATCCTGCTTCCTCACATGGGTGGGCAGGGAGTTAGTGCTCTCATCTGGTTAAGCAGTTGCACAGTCTGTGAGCACAGCTAGGTTGGAAGAGTAAGGATGGCAGAGGTGGGCAGAATCTTTCCTAGAATAAGAGAAAAACAAACTAGATTTCTGCAGTTAGAAATCTGACCACAGGGTGGCAGTGCACCTCAGCTGATGCACAGAAAGGCCATCTTAGTGAATTCTAAATGAACAGGCTTTTTCTTATTGGCTGGGCAAATAACTCAGCGTGTATGGTTGTTATAACAACAAAAGGCCAATTGGAACTTGCTAGATGCCTGACTGGCTAGAGAAT